TTTCATTTTCACTATACTCGCGTTTTTCGTTTATCACGCAATCCACGTTACTAATTATAGCGTTGTCAACCGGTATCGGATTTCGACTGAGTGCATCGGCATTTGTATTCCCCTTACCTGCGCGATGGGTAATCTCGTAATCGTATTCTTCTAGCTTGAGTCTCCACCTTATCAGTCGCGATCCCGGATCATTTACGCTAAATAACCAAATTAATGGTTTGTGATCGGTTACTATTTTAAATTTAGTACCGTATACGTATGGGCGAAAATATTTCACGGCCCATACTATCGCTAGTAATTCCTTTTCGGTCGTATTATAATTCTGTTCCGCTTTATTCAGAATTCTGCTAGCATAGGCAATTGGTCGATCTTGCCCCAAGGTTCCTTGCGATAGCACGGCTCCGATGGCGTAATCTGACGCGTCGGTAATGACCGTGAACTGCTGCGAGAACTCCGGGTAGCTCAGAACCGGTGCCGTAATTAATTTTTTCTTTAAGATATCGAATGCGCGTTGTTGTTCCTCGGTCCAGCAAAAATGCTCATTTTTTCGCGTTAATTTTGTAAGTGGTTTGGCAATTTTTGAAAAATTTTCTATGAATTTGCGGTAATATCCGGCTAAACCTAGGAATGATTGTATGTCCTTAACCTTTTTAGGTACCGGAAATTCTTTTACGGCTCGAAGCTTTTCGGGATCAGGTTTTATTCCATCTTCCGTAATTATATGTCCCAAATATGTAACTTCCTTACGCAGAAATTCACATTTATTAGACTGCAATTTTAAATTATGTTCGCGTAGTCGATTTAGTACTTCTATTAATCGGCGATTATGTTTCTGTAGACTGGGACCATATATAACTATATCATCCAAATAGACAAGACATCTGATACCTTGAATGCCTGTGAGGATTGAGTTCATTGCCCGTTGAAATGTCGCCGGTGCGTTCTTTAGCCCGAACGGCATTCGATTGAACTCATAATGTCCATACGGTGTCGAAAATGCTGTCTTGCATTTATCGCGGTCGCTCATCGCTATCTGATGGTAACCTGAAG